CCACACACACACACACACACACACACACACACACACACACACCCACACACACACAAACACACTCACACACACACACACACACACACACACACACCACACACCACACACCACGCACACGCACACGCACACGCACACGCACACGCACACGCACACGCACACGCACACGCACACGCACACGCACACGCACACGCACACGCACACGCACTCACACGCACACGCACACGCACACGCACACGCACACGCACACGCACACGCACACGCACACGCACACGCACACACACACACACACCACACACACCCACACACACCCACACACACCCACACACACCCACACACACACACCCACAGACGTACACAGACATACACAGACAGACACACACAGACAGACAAGCACAGGCAGACACACACAGACAGACACACACAGACAGACACACAGACAGACACACACACACAGACAGACCCACACAGACAGACACACAGAGACAGACACACACACAGACAGACACACACAGTCACACACACAGAAACACAAACACAAACACAAGCACAAGCACAAGCACAAACACACACTTACATCCCACAAGGGGTTGGACACGAAGTTCGGGTAAATCGAGCAAGAAGGGGAGGGGCAAGTTCGAGACAGGCTGACGCGCATGTAAAAGCAAAACAGCAACAAGAGCACCACACTATCAGAGCCAGTGGTCGGTAGAATCAACAAAGACAAACATCACAATTTTGGCTCATGTGCAGGTACACACGGGTGATCCATCCGTGCATCCACCATCAAGCATAGCTTCGTTGGCCAGCGTTTGCTGGATGGCCGCTGGCCCCCTGCTGTAGTTGGTCCCAGGGTACATCTGGGACTCCGCACACACACACACCTCTGAAGGGGCTGTTTTGACCACGCGAAGAGCTCCAAACCGTTCCGTCCCAGGGTACATCTGGGACTCCGCACACACACGCCACTCAAAGAGGGGCGAGAAGCTCAGTTTTTTCCGGAGGGGCAACCCAAAAAAGCACGCGTCCGAAAGACGGACGAAGACCCCAACAGAAAACAAACGGAGCAAGAAAGCAGAGAAACAGAAAGCCCCACGTTGACGCAGGGTCACCGCGGGCAAAACCCCAAACAAGAACACGAAAACCAGGGGAAACCAAGTTTAGGGTCTCCTACAAGGGCAAAAACCCCCAAACAGTCTCGAAAACCCTCCTAAACCTCGAAGACGGGGAGCGCGCCGCGAAGTTGAAGAGCGAGAGGAAGAACAGGCCATCCCTTAACGGGCGAAGAGGAAGCCCAGGATGAAGCGGGGGGGGGGGGAAAAGAGAAAAAGAACGACGGGGGGGGGGAGGGGGAACGAAAGAAAGAGAGAAAGAAAGAGAGAGAGAGAGAGAGAGAGAGAAAGAAAAAGGACAGGAAAGAAAAGAGGAGAGAAGGAGACAAGGGAACAAAAAAAAGGGGAAAGCAAAAGGAAAAGGAAAAGGGGGGTAGTATGCGTTTTTTGGGCGACGCATCCCGCCCGGACAAAGACAGAGGATGAAGACCAAGGCTCGACAAGGGGCCAAGAGGACGAACGCGAAATAGCAACGGAAGGAGAAGAAGACGAGCAAGAACAGGTAGACAGGCAGGAAGAAGACGACGAGGAGAAAGGTGAACAGCGCGAAGACAAGCAGGCCATCCCTAAGCGGGCCAAGAGAAGGAGGACGAACTCGCGGGTCAGGAACACCAGGAAGAGAGCGGGGGGAAGAGGAGGCCATCCCTAAACGGGCGAAGAACCAGAAGACGGACACGCAGACGACGAAGACGAGGAACTATGTAAAGGAACGGAGGAGAATCCCGCCTTGTTGATCTTGAGGGTGAAACTTCCACACAAGTGCATCAATCACACTGAGGTCACACAACTGAGGTTCATATCTCTGAGGTTAGCGTCTCTGAGGCGAGTATATCTGAGGTTACCGTGAAACGACTGAGGTTCCTGACTCCGCAAAAGCGGGCCCACGGTCACTCTCTGGGTACTTGCGAGGATCTCCCTTTCGGGATGTCACACCTAAATCCCACAAGGGGTTGGACACGAAGTTCGAGTAAATCGAGCAAGAAGGGGAGGGGCAAGTTCGAGACAGGCTGACGCGCATGCAAAAGCAAAACAGCAACAAGAGCACCACACTATCAGAGCCGGTAGAACCAACAAAGACAAACATCACAATTTTGGCTCATGTGCAGGTACACACGGGTGATCAATCCGTGCATCCACCATCAAGCATAGCTTCGTTGGCCAGCGCTTGCTTGATGGACCCCCGTACCCGCACCCGCACCCGCGCCCGCACGCGCAACACGCATAACACGCACACACGCACACGCGCGCACGCACACGCGCACACGCCCACACGCACACACGCGCACACGCACACACACACACACACACGCACACGCGCACGCACACGCACACTCGCACACGCACACGCGCAGGCACACGCGCACGCACACGGACACCCACACACCCCCACACACACACACCCACATACACACACACACCCACACACACACCCACACACACACCCACACACACACACCCACACACACACACCCCTACACACCCCCACACACCCTCACACACCCCCACACACACACACACCCACACACACACCCACACACACCCACACACCCCCACACACACACCCACACACACACACCCACACACACGCACCCGCACACACCCGCATGCACCCGCGCACACCCGCACACACCCGGACACACCCGGACACACCCGGACACACCCGGACACACCCGGACACACCCGGACACACCCGCACACACACCCGCACACACCCGCACACACCCGCACAAACCCGCACACACCCGAGCACACCCGCACACACCCGCACACACACCCGCGCACACCCGCACACACCCGCACACACCCGCACACACCCGCGCACACCCGCGCACACCCGCGCACACCCGCACCCGCACACACCCGCACACGCACCCACACACACCCACACGCACCCACACGCACCCACACGCACCCACACGCACCCACACGCACCTTCACGCACCCACACGCACCCACACGCACCCAAACGCACCCACACGCACCCCCCGCCCCCCCCCGCACCCGCGCACCCGCGCACCCGCGCGCCCGCGCACCCGCACGCTCGCGCACCCGCGCACCCGCGCACCCCGCGCCCGCTCGCGCGCACACGCGCCTGCGCGCCGCCGCGCGCACGCGCGCGCGCACGCGCGCGCACGCGCATGTGCTTGCGTGCGCGCTGTGCGTGCGTGCGTGGTGGGTGGGTGGGTGGGCGGGTGTGTGGTGTGTGGGTGCGTGGGTGGTTGGTGCACGCACGCACCCACCCACCCACGCACCCACACACCCACACACCCACACACCCACCCACCCACCCACCCACGCACGCACGCACGCACGCAAGCACGCACGCGCGCACGCACGCACGCACGCACACAGACGCGCGCACACATGCAGGCGCGCGTAGCACGTTCATCTATTTACGATTTGGCTATCAGGCGGCTTTGGAGCTTTGCTACGCGCTGCACTCCTTTTCAAGGACGGGGAGACGGGGAGACCGCGCACAGAGATAGACTGAAATAGACGGTCAGATGCGAGCGCTATCAGAGTGCTGCGAGGGTGGCAAAGCTGCTGCCATCAGTGGAGGCGGTGCCAGCCGGGGCTCCGAGAAAGCAGTGGGGCCCGTTGGCGGGGAACTTGGTGGGCTGGCTCAGGCGCTCTACGAGAAGGCGCACAGCTCCCCAAGCGCTTGCCAATTTGGTGGCAACGCGTGACATGAGCGTGAAATTATGTTGAGCGTTAAAGCGGCCTGGGCTTTGGCTCAGCTGGAATTTTGACCCAAGTTGTAGAGTGACGGAATGGCGCCCACCGTTTATTTTCAAGGCTGCAGCCCAAGCGTTGTCGATAGAGCATGTGCGGCGCTTTACGTTCCTCAGGTCCGGGAGAAGCAGCTGGCGCCCGCAGCGACCGTTGCTTGGCAGGGTGACAGGGATACACTTCAAGAGGAATTTCGGGGGAAAATCTGTGGGAACTCAACGCAGACGGAGCCTGCCTTCTGGCTTCTCCAGGCCTGGCTTCGCCTTGGCGTGGCCGTGATCGCTCAGCCTCACCTCGCCCAGATCCAGTAACCTGTGTCGTACCAGCGGCCCAGTCTGAGTGCAGCCCCGCTTCGAAGCGCCACTTCCCGGACGCACGGGCCGAGAAGCACAACTCCGTATGCAAGCAGACGCCTCCAAGGAGCGGCGGAGGCCCATCAGGAAGGTGTGGAAAGGGAGAAGCGCGCGCTAGATGAATGGTTTATTGCTTGTGGAACAAGACAAAGAGAGTGAGAGGGTTTGAGGCAGAACATTCAGGTGAAGAGGGATGAAGAGGGAAAGAGAGAGAGGGAGAGAGAGAACAAGAGATATAGAAAGGAAGATTGTTGCAGCTGCCGACCGTGTAGTGAATGCCATAGCGCACCGCGCGGGTACCACTTGCGATGATAGATAGCGAGCAAAAGCAGGAGAGCAAAAGAGAGAACACGAAAGAGGACAAAGGAAAGCAAGGGAAAGAAACGGAGCCAGAACAACGGGAAAGAAACAGAGCAACCTACTGAAAGGGAAAGAAAGAGAGCAAAATAATTCAAAATGAGGAGGGCAAAAGATAGAGAGCAAAAGAAATAGAACGAAAGAAAGTGAGCCAAAGAAGGAGAAGTGAAAAAAGGAGCATGAAAGAGCGAGCAGGGGGAGCAAAAGATGCAAAACAATGAGAGACAAAAAAGAGGAGGCGAAAGAGAGCAAAAGAACGAAGGCAAAAGAACCACAGCAAAATAGATAAAGCGAAAGAAAGAGAGCAGAACAAGGAAAGAGAAAGCAAGAGAGCGGAAACAAGAAAGCAAGCAAGCAAGCAAGAAAGCAGAAAGAAAGAAGGAAGTTTACAGGATCCGCTGTGCCCTGGCTCCTTCTGTGCTAGCCCCCTGGCTTCTACAATGTCGGGGGCTCGGTTTTCTAAGGGGCTGCTTGGAGTGGCCCGGTGCCCCTCGTAGGTACCTCACTGCCGCAGCAGCAGTCCTTGAAGGCAAAAGAATTAGCTGGGTCCATGGCAGATTTGGCGAGCCTCTCCCACACTGTGCCTTGGCGTATTGACCGCATGCTTGCGCATATTGACTTGAAACATCTTGAAACTGTTCAAAGTCAAGGAGAAGAAAGAAGCACATCGGGGCATGGAGATGTTCAACGTCAAGAGCCTGAACACCAATTGCCGCAAAGGAGCATAACACCCATATGCCTTGGCGCAGTCCTTTGGTCACTGGCTGAGTTTTGCTGACAGGACTGCTGGGCATGCGGAATAGCCAATCACTTCCGCCAGAGGCGAACGCAGTCGATGTCCAATGTTTGATGCCAAGCTTCAGGGGCCTTTTCTTGCAGGTCTTCAAAGCCTCGATCAGGAAGATGGTGGAGTCTCCAACCTCGAAGGCTTCCGCAGTTCCGCTTTGCGTCACACTGCAAAACGTCTTGCAGGAAGGCCCGGAGCTGCAGAGCAGCGCGCCATTCTTCCAGAGGCAAAACAAGAAATCCATGGCACGGCTGACGGGTGGGATGCTCAGAGACCTTGGTCGGGATGGTCGGGGCCTCGGAGTCTGCAGATCAGGGCCTGCCTTACGAGCCCTTGCTGACATGGAGGCGCTGACGCTTTCCCGTTGGGCTGTTCCATGCGGTTCCATGCTTTCGGTGTGGCCAGGCAGAGAAGCCGCGGCGCAAGGTGACCTTCAAGCCCCCTACCCGCTCGGTGAAACAGCTAGACGCTGTCGCCGATGCCGACGCAGACACTACCGTGGGCGGGACTCTTGCCAGAAGACACGCGGGCCCTTCTGAAAGCTTGGAATGGGGTTTGTCCAGGAAGTTAGACCACAGCGCGACCACGATTTCCCACAGCCAAACCTCCGCGTCTTCACTGGAGGCCAACGCATTTTGCCTGTAAAGTTCTGATTGCTTGTGGACTCAGGGTGGAGTGGAGGAGCAGGAAGATCTGTGACATGTGAATCCGCTGGCAAGACTCTTAAATGGAGGCCAAGTAGCAGGGCTTAGCCCTGGAAGCCGTGACTTGCGTTTGTCAGCGCCGCCCAAAGGGCCGGTGCTGCGAAAGACAGTCAGGCGAGTGACTACTTGCTAAGCAAGTCCCAAGGAAAGAAATGAGAAAAAACAAGCGAACGCAAGCAAAAGGGCTAAGGGTTGGCATGAAAGGCCGCCCCTTCTCTCATGAACTCTCATCAACTTACTCACCCGCTTGGGCATTGTTGGACACTATTGGCAAGAAACAAACGTTTCTGACAGTTTTGCCGCCTCTCCTTTTTCAGGACCAAACATCTTCGGCGTTGCATTTATGCTTCCGCCTTTCTTGTCACACCCTCACATAGTGTGACATACTATTCGCTATCATTTCTCTCATGCTCACTTCATCGGAGAGGCGATCGCGCAGAGCGCCTGGGCTGCTATGACACAGTCGTGCTGGAGGAGCGGCTGAGAGGGAGAGGCTCTATTCTCTCATTTGTTCTCTCTCTCTCTCTGTTGGCTTTTCCACGGTTTCTTCCTCTGCGTTTCCCCTTGCTCTTGTCCTTGCTCTTCCCACTCAGGGCGCACGTGGAGCGGAGGGTCTTGGGCAGTGACTCGGCCGCATGCTCTCGATTCCCAGTCACGCGCCTTTCGCTGAGAGCGAAGCAGCAAAGCAGCAAAGGTCTTAAAAGGGCGCGGCTTCTTCGCCGGGCGGCAATTTGCATTCAACGCTGCTGGCGAATCTTGGCGCAAAGCTTGGCGCAAAGCTGGGCGAACATCCTGCTATTCAGGCTACTTCGTTGCATGTGGTTCTCATTTCTTTGTTTTTGGGTCCCATGGGTCAATATTGCAGATAAAAAATGGGCAATCAAACCCCAATTGCCCAGTGTATGTGATTATGTCATTCGTCATTACCCCGGAAAAAATAACATTTTCAGTGGCTGGTTTTCGGCGGAGTAGGTTAGCAGCCAATTTTTTATTTTGTCGACCCCTTTTTATTTGCGCCTTAGGTAGGTAGCCTTTGAGGCTAGCCAAAGCCCCAAGCCCAACAAAGTTTAGTACAGAGTTCTTGGTTTGGGGGCTAGCTCCTCCCATTTGATTTTTGAACAAGGGAGTCATTTTATTTTCAGGCAAGTGGGTCATTTTATTTGCTGCTTGTGCTTCCTTATCATGACCCCGCATTTTCTTGGCAACCGAGGCGCTCCTTGGAATTAGAGATTGAGTGTTGGCAATGCTAAGTTTAGCAATGGCAGTACCGGATATTGTGCACTGTGAACCCAAGGCTCAGTATTGGAAATGCTAAGTTTAGCAATGGCAATACTGATTTTAACACTGTGAACCTACGATTCAGTATAGTATTTGCAGATGAATCTGACTGTTTCGTGGTTCGCTTTAATGTCAAACTTTTTGGGGGGTTGGGAATCTGAAAATGGACAATAACCCGTTTTACGCCTGCGGAGAAGGTAGCCAACGGAGGAGGAAGACGTCAACTTACGCGAGGGGAACGAGGAGCGCCAGCAGTTAGACAGTCGAGGAGGCTGCCGCGCAGAGCGCAGCACGCGCGCACATGATTCCCTGCTTTTGATTGCTTCTATTGCGCATGCATTGCTTAAACAGAGCTAGCCTTCTCACGCAATTTGATTCTATATGTGGAACTGGTCTTGCGACACCAACTGTGCCGCCCATGGCCACAAAGCACCAACGCCTCAAGTCGGAGCCGACTGTTTCGTAACTCGACACCTGCCCAAGGGTGGAACCTACTCAAACGTCGCATTGAACTCCTGGCAGGCGTGCGTTGCTTTTCAGCTTCGTTTGGCCGTGGGAGTCACCAACTGATAGGTGCCGTGCAAGTGGCTCACTCTGCCCGAATCCTAGCGTATGTATCAGTTGCCACTTGTTTTGCGAAGATTCGTCGCACATCGATTGCGCACGCCTGAGCGGAGTGAGCATGGAAGTCAGTTGGGTGTGAAACTCAGATTCAATGCTCCACGCTGTACATCGAGGTGTGGTAAGACTGGCCAATGCTGTATGAGGTTTACGGTTGGTCCAGGAGCGGCTTCTCCACAGTCTGAACACCATCGCAGCCATTGACCGCTATCCGCGACTTCCGGAGCTGCTAGGGATGTGTTCTTTTCAGTTCCCTGGGAAAGCACCTGTTTCATGCGGACAGCTCGTGGCATTGACGCTGCCAACGATCGTATCCGGTCAGGAGTCAGATTTGGCCGTGGGATATGCCGAGGATTCGCCTGTCATTTGTCGTGTCGAACGGTGAGATGTGACGAGAGTGAAGCAGTGCGGGGGACAGTGAACGCTAGGCCCCGGTTCTGCTGTCTCCAAGCCCCAGCAGCAGCCAACGTCGGAGCCAGGCTTGCCACATTTGTCGCACGTGCAAACCACGCCAAAAGCACAAGGCTTATCACTAGACTTGGCTGGCCAAAGGTGTAGCGTTTATGCCCGTCAGTCGCAGTGACCTGACCTGCTAGCGAGTAAATTTGCTCGTTGCAGGCTCTGTATTGCTTGCGCGCGTGCCCCTGCGCAGGTTTTTGTAAAATGACCTCAAGATTTGCAACTGACCAGGTATGGAAGGGAAGGCTTGCCCAGGTGGTTCACTCAAGAGGCTGGAAGAAGAAGCAGCTTTTCATGTAGTGACTGTAGTGCGACGGATGAACCCGCATGCATGTTGCGGATATTTTGCGAATATTGAGCCAGGTGCAGCTCGAGCAAGTGCAGCCAGAAGAGGTCTCTCTCCGGGCGTTGCGTGGGCTGCAGGCGCCCAATGCGTGTCAAACGACTTGATTTGTCGGCGTTGAGGGGCTGCTCCTGGAGGGCTTGGGTCCAGAGGCCTTCAGCACCTTTGAGGCGTCCGAAAGCGCCGAAAGCGTTAAGCGAAAGCGTTAAGGCCAAGTCGCAGAGTCGAGCCTTGGCTTTAGGACAAGTCCATCGAGGTGGCATCGCCCTTTCTTCAAAACCTGGCACGAACAAGTGCGAGCGGTATAGACAAGGAAGCTGGGAAGCTGGGAAGCTTGGCCCTGAGTTTGCCCAGTATTGACAAATTGAGTGACTTGCAGGAATTAGAGCTGGCAGAGGTGACGCATGCAACCTTGGCTGCCAGCAGGACATCTCAGATTGGTTTGATTGGTTTGTGCCATCAACACTTTGATTGCATGGATGTACTTCACGCATTCTCGCAGAGCCCATCCCGGACAGCAGTACAAAGTTTCAGATTTAGGCTTCAGGGCTTTAGGGTGTGCATGATTTGGGCTGTGGGTTTTGCAGATGCTTTGTGATGCTTTGTGCTTTGTATGCTCAGGTGGGGGCGCCCTCCGTTTTGCAGAGCTGCGCTACAGCAGCGTGCTGCAGGCTGTGACGGCGTGTCTTGAATCAGGGGTTCGGGAATGGTTCCTTTTGAATGAATAAAAATACAAGAAGATAATGAGAATGCGAAGAAGCAGCGGAAGCAGGCCACAGCTTAAACAAACTTCGACTGAAACAAATTCAAGTTGCCACTTTTCTGCTTGCACTTGTCAGCAGTCTTTCTCACCAAATGTTTTCCGGTGGCGCGCCGTCCTCCTTGAGTCGTAAGGAATAATGCAAGCAATTCATCTGATCTGAAGCTGAAAATGGATTCAGAACGTCGGAACGCCCAAATCGAGCAAACCCACTGAAGAAAATACACTTACAAATGGGCAACGCATTTCCAATGAGGGAAGATAAGGCTGTGAAGGGTGTCCAAGTCTAACTTCCGGACGTGCCAAACCACTGTCACGAAATGGCGCTGAAGTGAAAGCAAAGAACATGCCGGTGGAATTTGGGACGGATTGAATGCCGATTCCCCGAAGGCACGGCAGCGTGCTGTGCTCCTATACTTTTGCAGCTTCAACTTCGAGAAGCACGTGGCAGTACCCTTGTTGCCAAGGCTTTCGAAGAGGTCTTGTATATGTCTAATACACATGTATTACATGTATTACATGTATTACATGTATTTGTTGGCAGCTTGACTGCCAGGCACCAGCTTTATGATGCACAGACTACCTATGACATCCTGCGGCTTTGGGACGGGCGGGACAAGACCCAACTGGCCTAGGGCCAACGAGCGCGCGCGAGGACCTCTATGGTCTTGACTGGCCATACGGGAGCAAGGCACGGCAAAGTTGCGACAGCATTCGTATTGCCTGAAAACAGCCACAGGCTTCGCACGCGCACGAGCAAGCTTGTGTTTTGTTCTTTTTTGCTCCTTGCTCATCTATTTAGTCCACTTGCTTTCATTTCTCATGGTTTTTCCATATGTTTTGCATATGTTTCGTGCGTTTCGTGTTGCGAGGTTGGCCAGTTCCTGCTAAAGCAACGCGAGCCAAAAGCCACGGAGGCGCCCATGAGGCAGAGGCAGAGCGTCAGACCGCCGCCTCTGAGGTCATCCAAGTCAATGGATCGAGGCATCGCAGTGCTGTGGACTTCCGTGCCGAATGGCAATCGGAGGAGTGGATTGAGTGGATTGGATCGGATCCGATTCAGTGTATGGGAGGAAGATCAGCGAACTGTGGTCTCCAAAGAGCAAAAGAACAAAGAGTTGATTTGGAGGCAAAGCTGTCTCGAGGAGTGTTGAATTGCTTGGCTTTCTGAGGTTAGAGGAGCTGAAAGGGAAGAAGAGGAGAAATGACCTGGAGGAGGGGCTAACGTATCAACGTGCCATAACTCTCACAGCGTCATTTTTCTGACGTGTACGTAGGAGATCCAACATCTACTCTCGACGGTAAGCGTGCCGCAGAACCTGGCTCAGTCAAGACTGTATCAGTTGCCACAGATAAGCACTTCAAATACTTCGACTTAGGCTCTTAGAGGCTTTGGAAACTGGCAAACTGCCAAGCGAGAAGCCGAGCTACTTATGTCAGCTACAGTTCTGGCCGCGTCACACCTAAGGCGATGTTGATTTGCAAAGTATTGAGGCCAGATCGCAGTCAATCCCCAGTCGGCGTGCGTTGAATAGGTAACTTCACGGAACGAATTTGGATCTTGCCCCTAGGCCTGGATTCTTGGCAACAGAGCAGGCTTTTCGGCCGACAGAGCGAGAGACCGGAAGATGTTAGCCAAGGCCAGGCTGTCGAAGTGCTCTGATGTGTCAATGTTGAAGGAATTGAAGTTCAGTCAGATAAAAGCAACGAGATGCGAACTGAACTTTCTTGTGCACCGCCCAGCGCGCCGCGGCGGACAAGCTGGCCATTCGAAGGCTGCTGAGCACTGTCAAGGCAAAGATGGATCAAAATGCGAATGGCATCTGACTTAGCCGAGCTTAGGCGCCATGCGAGAAGGTGCAGCAGGGAGAGAGAAAGTTCGGCCGGGAATGGGAGGACGCAAGCGGTGGGCCATGTGAATAGTCCGAAGGGTCTTTGTTCGATGCAGAGGACAGGCTGATGAAATTTTATGCCACCGCACATGCTGAGCAAGTCGCCGCAGAGGAGCGCGAGATGGGAACTGGGAAATGAGGAAATGAGGGAAATGGGATGGGGTATGGGAATGTATGGGAAGGCGTGCTTGGAGCTTGGAGCTGCCAGGCCGAGTGTCTCAAAGCTCGGCAGACGCGGTGGCCTTAACGCAGCAATTTGCTGAGCGCGTCGCAAAGATGGACTGTGATGGAGGCAAACAGCCCGGTTTAAGAGATCCTGACTCAATGACTTAGGTGGCCACGGGGATCAAGGCAGAACGCAATGAGTTTGGATGTCATGGTCTGTGGCATCATGAGGTTGCAAGCTCCTGAGCCTGCAAATCCTGCAGCTAGGCCGTGGAAACATAATGCTAAAGAGACGCAGGTTGTGTTGCGGCTGTGTTGGGCATGTGCCAGGTGGTTGGTGAGTGACGTGGGCGAAGCTGAGCCAGCGCCATGTGTTTGTTTGGTCCAGTCAAGTCGACGTGTCCAAGGAGCGACTGGGACCTGACTCCCAGGCGAGTGCGAGGTGTGTGAGTGTGTGACCAGTGTGTGCCAGTGCGCGACCGCGCGGCCGCAGGTCCCAGCCAGGCCGAAGTCCTGACCCGGCTGACCCCCCCGCTCCTTCCGCCCCTTTCGGCCCTTGCGCCCCCGGGCCTCGCGGGCCTCGCGGGCCTCGCGGGCCTCGCGGGCCTCGCGGGCCTGGTCCAAATCCTGGGGCCGAGGGCCTCAACCCTGGCCCGGCCGGCCTCCCTTCTTGCTCCAGCATCGCCCGCGAGAAGGCGGATGGCGAGCCTCGAATTTTTGAATCGAATCCCTGCATCAGGCTGCTGCACGTCGCGAGCGAAAGCGGATGGCCGAGAGCTTCGGTGATAGGAGGCTCGGGCCAGGGGGCTTTTGCTCCTCCTCCCCACAAAAACATTTGCCAGGTGCGCTTTGCAAAGGCAAGCTCACGGTAGTGATTTGCAGACTTTGAAGGCGGATCGAGAGGACAGGGAAGGTATGCGAACAGCCCCACATGGAAGGTTACGACCTTGTCGCTTCGCCGTGTGTTGTATGCGCTACCGACTCAAAGCTTTGCTATAATTGAGCCCTTTTAAGGAGTTTGACCATGGCGCGTGTCGAACAGCATATGTCATCAGGACCGGAGCAGGCTGCAGGTTTCCGAGCAGAACAAAGCGTGGCAAGCTAGGACGCTGCCTTGGCAAGGGAAGACAAAAGCCAAGCTCTGGGTATGATAGGACAGAGCTCCTGATGCAGAAAAACCAAGAGCTTTTGGAGCATCGCAGAAGGCGCGATTCTTTTTTGCCTTCCTTTTGCTTGGGCTCGGTGTTGTTTGCTTGCACAATACTTGCTAGCTGTTGACTGCTTGCACCTGAAACTCTTCATACAGCACAAGCCCAAAATCAAAACACATCGCAAGCGAACTGAAGTAATGCCTTTAATGCTGGGTCTGATTGAACCCCCACGCACAGTGTTAACAGTAGTTGGGCCTCTTCAGTGGCCTCGTTGGCTGGCCACCGCTGCTCAAGTTTCGCAGAAGTACGCATGTGCTCCCCATTTGTCGAACAAGGACATGGCAAAGAAGCCATGACCTTCCGGGCCAAACAATCAAGTAACACGAGGAAAGGCTTCCAAAACAGCAGTAGTTTCTGTTGCGCCGTGTTCCCAAAAACAGGGACATGGCAAAGAGCAAGTCAGCGTGTCTGAGTTGTAAACACAGGAACCCAGCAACGATTTCTGTTTTTGCTTTCCGTTCGGAGAACCCCAAGTGCCTGGCCAAAACTCTTTGGGCAGAAAGGCACGCGATACCCTTGGTGGAAGAAGGCTGGCGCTCGCCAAGAACACCTACAAGCCCCGCGAAACCAACCCACGTAGCCTGCCACCTGAAGCTCTTGAGCCGGTTGAAATTTCAGCATTCTTGTTGCAGCCGGCTAAACGGTAACCAAAGAGAGTTGCCATGACTTCAACATGCGCGGTTTCAAGGGGTCGTGCGCGGAAATGTCAACTTCTGCATGTTTGTGCCATTGATGTTAGCCACCAACAGCAGCTGTCACCTTAGATGGATACCTAGCGAGTAGAATTCCGCAGACAACCCCTCAAGAGGTGTGTGGTGTGCGACATGGTGTTCCTGAAGAACTTGGATGCGGGCGCACTGCTACTATGGAGTGGTGCCAGCAGCAATCGCAAGACAAACACCTTGCGCAAAAGCCCGTGCTCCCGCCGGTTCAGAAGGCGCACTTAAAGCTCGCTCACCACCCGTCCTTGGAGTTACAGATCGAGCTGTGCAATCTCACGCACCGTCAATCAGACAGAATCGACAGAGCGGGGAGCGCGCGGTGCTGGAAGAGTCACTGCAGAGATATCAGACAGCCTGGAGCAGAATTCAGCGCTTGGTGATGGACTGCGTGGGAGGGATGACGGTGGACCAAAATCTGCCCTCTGCCTGGAGATTTTTTTTCACCTACCTGGGTCCTGCAGACCATGTTCGCCGCACGGGGAGGAAATTATTTTGCAACTCCAGGGCCTCATCTAGCTTTAGACCGCACAGTCTGCGCATTTGATGTTTTTGGGGGGGCAAGGCTGGGTTGGACGGATTCTGGCAAGCAACGACTGCGACGAGCGAAGGTCACCCAGCTTGCGCGCTCACATGCAAGCCAAGACGCCTGCTTGCAATGCTGTCTTCAGCGTGGCGTTCGCCAAGGCCCAAGACGAAAATATTCGTAGAAGAGGGGTAGAGCAAAGTAAGGAGTTTGGGGTGTTCAAAGGCAGCAGAAAATTGGGTTAGGGTGTTTAAGACAAAGGGTTGCTTGCGAGAAGAGCCGCACAGTCAAAAACGTATGCTAATCAACATGAGCACCAGGCTTACTTCGTGGCAGCCTTCGAATAAGGGAAAGCTTTCCAAGTTTTCTGCGTCGCAACGTAGAAAAGATGGCTTCTTTCTTGCTCAGCGAAACTACACTGATGCGCCCATCCCGTGGTAGCAGCAGCTGTTTCATTCGCTCGCAAAACATCAGGGTATGTGACAGGGCTGTTCTCAGCCGAAGTGCGACATGATTTGCACAGGCTTTGCCTTTCTACTGTCCTCTTTTGCAGCTGCTGGCTTTGCCTTGGGTGCTGAGGTTTGGCCCGCTTGCCCAAAAGTTCAGCATCTTCAGCAAGCAAGAACTTAAATGTGTGGAACATCTTGCTCGCCTTTCTGCATCTTCGCAGACATGCGAGCAAAGTTTGCCTTCAAGGCAACAGCTCCGTATGTGGTTGCCGGGCCATCTTCGTCCCACATGAAAAAGGCAAGGCGGCGCATCAGCTGTGCAAAAAAGTCGCTGCTTTTCGAGAGGCTAGCCTCTAAACCAGCCCCCCGCCTAGTACTTTTTGAACACTATTCCACAAAGCTTTCAAGGACGCCTTTGCGTTACAGGAGTCTTGGAAAATTGCTGCGCGTCCTGCTGCGCCTGCGTCAAGCTAGCTCTTTTCTGCTCAGACGGCAGGACTCCCAAAAGCTGTTCGAGCACCACGGCCATTGAGAAACGCCAGTTCCAGACGGACGGAAGGGTCCAAGCTGCATAGCTGAGCTGCTTTTGAAAGGCGTTCTTCATGTCTTGGAAACGAGGCAATTGCCTCGATGCGACGCATATCACCCGCAAGCGCTCTGCATGACTTGGCATCCTGCAGCACGTCTTCATCGATGTGGGTTTCCACAGTAGCTTCCCCCGGGAATGGGGGAGCTGATTTTGTGTTTCGGCCTTAAGTTTCAGTTTTTTCGGCTTTGTTTTGTTTTATTGCTCTTTTTTTAACAGCGAGCCTCAGCGTCAAAATCTGGGCTTTCCTTTTTTTGGTTTTTGCAAACCCTTAGGACCTGCGCGTCACGGCACGTGTCGTAGATAAACCTCAGCCACAGTGCCACACGCGACTGAAATATCGCGCGTAGATAAAGTATATTCCATTCCTTGTCATATCCAGCAGGGTATGAGCACCTGCGCAGTCCAAATCGTCGCACGCGCAGGTCCCACGATTGATTGTCACCATCCTCCCCAGTGGCAGCAGAACGTGGGTAATCGTCGTGATTCATGGCTGCAATTGTTGTGAGTCCAACTCAAATTGTCAAAGTTGCGGAGCGTGCCTGACCTGGTAGTCTGAAGCAAACTTAATGTTGCCTTGCGTGCTCCCGACCATTCACTAAGATGGGGTCAATGGTCATAGGAGTCTAGAGGGGCTGCTCCGCTGGTCTTGCATCAGCAGCTGGCCCAGTAGTGCGCCAGCTGCTGGTGCAAGATGAGCGGAGCAGCCCCTCTAGACCAACCGACAAGACTTGACAATTTTTATGTTGGCCTACCGCCCACACATCCGGACAGCAATGTCACGAAGTGCCCCTGGTAGCTGGTGACCCAGGGAAAATTGAAAGCCAACTGCGGCATCTCACGGCGGGATCTCCCCGGCAAAGTCACGCCTATTACAGTGAAAACATTGTCATGATATATTTTAATCACATTGCAGTTTCAGCACGCTACACAGACATCATACACGCGCACACACACACACACGCAAAAACACACATACACACATACATACATACATACATACATACATACATACACACATACATACATACATACGTACACACACACATACATACATACCTACATACGTACGTACGTACATACATACATACAGACATACGTACTTACACACCTACTACAAACTTACATAGATACATGACATAGATACACAACACATACATACAAATATTATACCACCCAACCAAAACCGAAACAAACAAAGCAAACAAGCAAACAAACAAGCAAACAAACAAACGAACAAACAAAGGAACAATCAACACACACTTGTTGAATTGTTGAACAAATATAGCAAACACAAACTAGCAACAAACGTCACACAACTAACACAATTGACAACAGCAACAACAACAACAGCAAGCACTAAGCTCAAAGGAACGAACAAGAGCGCTGAAAATGACAAGTTCCCGACAACAAGACCGACAGAATCCGTCAAGAGCGCGAACTGTTCCCCTACATTCTGTTCCCCCACGCACATTTTGAGGATCTTCATCTTGCTCCCCAGTTAAAAACTCCATCTATGAGTCGCTTGCCAAAAGCAGAACAGAGTTTGGGGTGGAGGAAGCTGTCTTTGGCGTGGCTCGAACCATTGATGCCACGTAGCGTGTCCTCGCAGAGCTCTGCGGAGTCAAGAGACTGACGTGGACTTTTCAAGGTTGCGTAGAAAAGAAGAGCGAAAGCGACGAGGAGCGACGCGGAGGAGAATGCTTTGACTCAAATCTCAGCCTGGAGGGCAGGGCACGACGGCTCGAAGAGGCAATCGTTCCGGCGAATGTGATTTGTGAAGTTTGCCAAGGGAGAAGCCGCACCAGAAGCCTAACAGGAGCAGCTGCGTCAATTGCGTCGCAAACTGGCTAGTTTTATCGATCCAGAATATTTCGCCCATCGAGGGGGCCTTTCAACACACCATTGTCAAAGCAACAGTCGCGGGTTGGAGGGCGCACGATGCACATCGGCGGCATCCTAAACACGTTGGCCGTGGCGCCGGGAAACAAAGCTGGGGGAAAAGTTAGAGTGGGGAAGACGGCAACGCCGCGAAGCGCGCCCTGTGCCACGTAGAGGTTGACTACGAAAACGCTTCGCGCGCAGCGTGGTTGAGGTGGTTGCTTGGGCTAGATGATGTTTAGCGCAGTTTAGCACCGAGGTGATGTCCAACTTCCAACAAGAACTCTATGGGGCGATGTCAAGAGACGTTCGTCCTAAATTTCTGCGCATAGCTGGACTGCTGGTGCCCGTGGCGCGATGTGTGGGGTAATGGGCCGCAGCAACATCCGCGCAGCTTGGCATCGTGAGCTCGAAAGGGGCGACGGATGTTTGGAGCTTACTTAGCAGTCACATGCCTGGCGCGCTGTGACTGCTCGTGCTGGGGAAGGCCCAGGCTTTGGCTACATTGCGGCAACGTTGCGAGGTACCCGCCTCGCAGCACGCAGGCAGCGCGCTCGCTCACTTCTTCTGCGCGGTCGCATCGTTAAGCGATTCAGATGCTCCTGGAGCAGCCGACTGACAGCTCACTGCAGGTATGGATGGCATGTCAATCCTGGCAGTAGCGATTGCAACGAGGGATGCGCCGATCAACGAGGTTGAGTTCCTGATGAGACAGCGTGAGGATGGTTCACGCATGCAGCTTTTGAAAGCGTTTCCTGTGCAATGCCACATTTGGGTAAATGGAAGCTGCGCGTTCTTCCTCATCCATCCTCTTTGCTATGTCAGCAAATCCC